CAACTTGAATACGTAAAGGTAAGGTATTTCAGGACCTCCTGGTCCTTTTGTACTCCCCGTTTTTTCTTGCACTTTTATATTTTAATTCTTCTTTTCCTACTGTATTCCATTTAGAAAGTACTAGTCATGACCCGCTAAACCGATCTCATGACTTAATGTTTCAAAAACACTGTGGTAAGTGAATCTGCCCATTAAAAAAGATAACACACATAAAAGTGTCTAGTTCACAGAAGGTGGCCAATAAATGTGAGCCCTTGTCCTCCTTTTCTTTGGGCAGACAAACTTAATCCTAGCTACAATGTGTATTTTGTGTTTCTATGACATCTTATGTATAATGCTTATGTGTGTAATGCTTATATGTGTAAATGATTATAATTTTTTTTTTGTAATTAACTAAATTAAAGACTAATTACTTTGGGCTTCTCAATATCAATGCTAATTTGATCTGGGCTGATGACAAGCAGTTAATTACTTTTGACTATTTACCAAGGAATTTATATGATCCTGGGTCATATTTAATATATAACGAACTAACCAACAGTCCAAGAAGTAAACATTTTTAAAGGGCTGCTATGCATTGATTGCTAATATGGGAATATGACCTTACATTTACATAAAATATTATTCTTTTCTATGTATATTCACGTATACAATTTCATTGATCTCTCACAATAACTCTGAGATGCTGCTAAAGCAAGAGATATTACTCCCATTTTGCATGTGATAAAACTGGGATACAGAGAATTACACTTGTGTTTTCAGCCCTGCCTGTAGATTAGAATAACTCAGGGAACTTCAAAAATACGGCCAATGCCTGTGCTCCAGAGATTCTGATCCAAACAGCTGGATATATTTTACAAAATGGCTTCAGGTTAGTCCAATGTGCAGGCAGGGTTGAGAGCCACTGGGTTACACAGTGTTGAATTTCAGACACCAGTATGAGAAATAAAACTAGATTTCATAATATAGCGAGTACTTTTTACCACTTCCCCAATCCTCTATTCTCACACCGCATTAAAAGTTGTCATTATAGGACCTCTGCTGGAAAATAGTTCTGGAAAATAGTTGTGGAAATTTGTTTGAATCGTTGTATGTATTCAACATTTATAAAATAGATTTCCTGGAAAATATTCTCAATGCAGACTTCTTGCTAATTTTGACTAACTTGTTTTCTGAGTTAATGTGAACTGAGAGCTCTTCCTGCTTGTCATGCTATCTTTATGGGTTAGCTTCAGGAGGGTAGAGATGGTCCTGCTGTCTCAAGTATTATGATAGCCCATTCTTACATATTTTATTATGCATCTCTAAAAAATAGAGATTTTCTAATATATCCTTGATATCATCATATTACATTAATTCTTTAATAGTCTCTAATAATCTTTCTTTGTCATGAAATTATTTTTTAAATTTGATTTGTTCAAGAGGATCACATACATTCTGTTGTAAATTCCCTTTAATCTGGAATTGTTCTTTTAAGAACTATTTTTTAAAAACGTTTTATGTGGGAAAAATTCAAATATATATGAAAGAAGTGAGAGAATAGTGCAGTGAACTCCAAGTACCCATCATCCAGCTATACTGAGCATCGACTCATGGTCATCCTTGTTTAATCTACATTCTCATCCTGTCTCACATGGCCCGCTGCCTGGATTATTTTGAAGCAAATCTTAGATATCAGCATTTTACCTGTAAATATTTCAGTATGATTCTCTAAAAGATAAGAGGTCTTTAAAAAAAAAAACATATCCACAGTATCTAAAAAAATTAACAGTGATTCCAATATCCGATCAAATTTTTCCATTAAGAAAATAGTGGTTTCATTCTATCAAAATGCAAACAAGGCCTAAACACAGCATTTGGTTGATATGTCTCTTAAAACTCTGTTAACAATCTGTCAGTTTCCTTTTCCTCTTCCTTCTCTTCGAAAGATAATATTGAAGAAAATAGGCTGTTCATTCTATAGTTTTCCACATTATGTATTTTTCAGATTACTCCTTCAAGATATCATTTAACACATTCTCTGTTCCTTTTATTTCCTGTAAACTGGTAGTTAGAGCTACAAGTTTGACTTTATTCAGATTCATTTTTTTTGGTAAGACTCCTTCATGGATGAGTTTGTGTACTTTTGTCAGCAGACACGTAATGTCTGGTTGTTCCTTTTTGTTATGCTAGGAACCATTTATTGTCATTACTTAGATCTATTATTCCATTAGGGGTTACCAACCTCCTATTTTGTTTTTCATGACATTGACTTATTGACAAGACCAGGCTAGATATCGTGGAGATTGTCCCCTGCATGTGTTTGTTTCACATGTTCCTTTGTCCCCTGAAAGTTCCCATAACTGGATATTATAGCTTAAATCTTGATTAGAGTCAAGTTAATGTTTTTAGCATTAGTACTTTATAGGTGACATTGTATACTTCATATTACATTATATTGGCAGGTACATATTGTCTGCATGCACTTATTTTGAAGGTCTCTCTCCAAATATGTTAATAACCATTAAAGTGTACCCACATTCCACATTAAAAAAATTTGGCTATAACCTTTTAAAAAAGCTTTTAAAATTTAATAACTTTAAATTTAGTTAAGAATAAATCTTTCATTTTGTTTTTGGAATTTAAAATTGATTTTATATATTTAAAATTGATTATATATATTTATAATATGTTTTCAATTGATTGGTTAATGTATCTTATTTTTGTAGACTTTTTTTTCCTTTGTATTATAAGGAACTTCTAACACATACAAAAGTAGGCAGAACAATATAATGAATAGTTCTCATGTACTCAGAACCTAGCTTCAGCTTATGGTTAATGTTATTTCATCTAGCTCCCCATCTCCTTCTCCCTTCCTGTATTATTAAAACATTTTAAAATGAGATATAATTCACATACATAAAATTCACCCTTTTCAAGTGTAGACTTCAGTGCTTTTAACATTAACAAAATTGTGCAACCATTTCTATTCAATGATTTTTTTGTGTATTCATAGTTTAGAACCTTTACAAGTCTCTTCAATCTGTAGATTTCTCTCTCCAAATCTTTTTCCTATGCAATTTATTTGTTGAAGAAACTTGGTTGTTTATCCTTTGAGTTTCCATAGTCTGGATTTTGCTATTTGCATCTCTGTGGTATTATATGTTCCTCTGTATTCTATGTTTTCTATAAATTTATAGTTAGATACAGAAGTCTTATGAGGTTCAGATTCAGTTTTTTCCTACAAGACTACTTCAAGTCATGTTTATGTTTTAGAGACACATATATCTCATCTTTTATTTTGTGATGCTAGCAGTGGTTGATGCTCAATGGATTAGTCTCTGAATTCATTAAGGGTTGCAAAATGGTGATATTCTATCATTCACTTTTTATTTGTTACTTGGAATACGTAGCTTACTCCTAGTAAAAGAAAATTTCCTGTCTACAGCCATGCTACTCTGAACGAGGTGGATCCCGTCTAATCTCGAAAGCTAAGCAGGGTGGGGCCTGGTTAGTGCTTGGATGGGAGACCACCTAGGAAGACCAGGCGCTATAGGCGTAAAAAAATAAAAACATAAGGGATTGTAAGCTGATAAGGTCCTTGCAATCTGTGAGGTCAACCAAGGGTTGCCTCGCCTAAAAAAAAAAAAAAAAGAAAATTTCCTTTATCTACTATTTGGTTACATACACAGTGGTACAGATTGTTTAGAAAATTAGCATTTATTAATTTTGATTTTTATATTTTAGAGCCATAGACTTTTTTGCAGGTCTCAGATATTTTCGTAAGCAGTGCGTTATAGTGCTTAACGGGTAAAACACCTGCCCACAGGGATTGAAGTAGGAAAATAAGGAGGCGGGGTCAGTGGCGACAGGAAATTTGAACTGAGGTATGAATCCTCTGCTCTAGCAGATTTTCTTTTTTCTCCGCATCACATAAGGTTCTCCCATATGAAGCATCACGGGGAAAAAAAAAAACAAAACAACCTATAAAACCACCAGATCTAAGACCCTTGTAAAGTTTTGTTTCCCTTGCGGAATTTATATGCTTTTCCCTTATTATTCATGGACATCAGTGAACAATCTGTATTTTCCCACTTTGCACCGCGCCCAGTAAGTTCAAAGACAAATTTTGTTTAATTTTGGAACAACAGGAATTTCTAATCTGTACAACTGCATTTTCCCTCAATCGACCTTCCGTACCTGTTCCTGTCTTTAAGCCGATTCAAGGGGTTTGACTGAACAAAAACATTTTGCATAGCCATCAGTCACCTATGAAAATACCTTTTTCTTGGCACTCTAGTCGCTGCTGGGTGTTATTTTTAAAATCTTTACTAACGTAATGAACCAGAAATGGTTTCTCATGGGGGAGGGGTCTTGTGTTTCTATAATTACTCGTGAGCTTGAACATTTTCCCATGTTTGTTAACTAAAACTGTTTGCTTGGGACGTAGCTTATATTGAATTGGGGAGTTCAGCTTGTCGACTGAAAGACTAGAGAAATGAAACCCAGAAATACCTCCTGCTTACATTTAAGCTTTGACTCCGCCCCTGGATTTTACCCCCTCCAAGGGAGCCCTTTGTGTCTGTCAACGGTCAGGGAAAGTGATCTCAGTCTGTAAAGCTGGCGGGACACTGTATCGTCCCCAGCTACGCCTATTATGTGCATATCCTACTTCAGATTTCAGTGTCTACGGGGAAGAGTTCCTGAACCCCGAACGTGCCGGAGTACGGGCAGCCGCCGGGGCTCCTTCTGCAGGCGTGGCCGATCCCGCTCGGCCTTCGATTGGCCCGCCTGATCCCGCAGGAGCAGCCGCGACGCGGGCTTGCTTAGCGCGGTGGATGCGAGTGAGGAGTGGCTGCTTCTGCCTTCCTCTCCCCCCCCACCGCCACTTTTTTTTTTAAGCCATAGCTATGGTTACCACGTCTCTCCCCGCCTCCCTCTACCAGCCAAGAAGACGACTGGCCATTGGCTGCCTGTCACCAAGTCAGCCAGTCATTGGTCACCGGTGAAGGCCCGGCGCTCCCCCTTCCCCTGCCTCCCGGGTCTCTAGAGGAGCCCAGGAAGGAGGCTCGGCTAGTGCCGCCGGGCCAGGGGCTGCCGGGACCGGGCTGCGGCAATCGTTAGCGGGTCATGTCGGCCGCCCAGGGCTGGGACAGGAACCGCCGGAGGGGAGGAGGTGCCGCGGGCAGTTGTGGCGGCGGTGGAGGTAGCGGGGCTGGCGGGGGCAGTGGGGGCAGCGGGGGTCGGGGAACTGGCCAGCTCAACCGCTTCGTGCAACTCTCCGGGCGGCCGCACCTGCCAGGTGAGTCGTGGGACGTGGTCCTGACAGCTTGCGGGCGCGGCGGGAAGGTGACTGCTGTCTTTTCTTTTCTCTCTTGCTTTCTTTTCCTTGGGTGGAGGAAAGACAGGCCCCACGCATAGCTCAGAGACTGGGGCTTAGAGAAAAGGAAGGGTGTCTTTGAGGTCAGGGGGGCGGGGGGAGGGAACAGGAACACAGTGAAAAAAAAAAAAAAGTATTTTTGTTCTGTTGAAATCTCTGTGCTGAGAGTTGCGTTTTCAAAGGAGAGGCCACCGTCTCATTGACATTCCTAAATGTTTCGCTTACTCGGTTCCCAGTCTCGTCCTCTTCCGTAGTTTGATCTTGTAAAAGAAAGACATTGGCGCCTAGCCGTGGAAATTATTTTTAAAAGGGTACTAAATTGAGGAGAGAAGAGGGAAGAGCATTCCAAAGAGTGATTTTTGTGAAAAAAACACCTCAAGTGTGTAAAAGTTAGGCATGCTGAAACAAGAAAGGAGGATTGGGGAGGGGGGTGGTTGTTGGGAGATGGGTGGGAAACGGATCCAAGATTACTAGGGAAAGCTAGTTGAATTAATATTTTGGAATGTCCAGAGACAGAATGGATAGTGTGTCTGGATTTTGAGGAGAGAAAACGAAGATCAAGAATATACATGGTGACAAGATTATGCTCTGTCCACTATGTAAAACAGCTGGTTGAGAATTGGAAAAATGTATCCAATGTGATTATTTCACGTTTTGGCCTACAATTCCCTATCCTCCGGTTCAGATGCCTTAAAAAACAAAGACAAATCGATATGTGTGCAGACGATTGGAAAGAGAGAGATTTGTAAGTGAATATTCAGTATAGTAGAAGGAAGGTAGGGAAGTAAATACTGCACAGAATGTCAGATGTTAATTGGGCAAGCTTGTTTTTACCATGAAGAGAAGTACCAGGAATGATGTTAATCATTCACCATGTTTTTTTGTGATAATGTTGATTTTATCAATGATATATTTGTTGAGCCGATGAGTTTTGAGAACATCATGGGTTTTGAATTGTTTACTACCGAACCTTGTACTTCTACGAAGTCAAAAATTGTTATTTGATTAATTCGAAGATAACAAAGGGAATTTTGTACAGCCAATGGAACAATTGCTTATATTTGTGATGAGGTTATTGACGTGTGCTAGAAATGCAAATTAATCCACTTTTATGTACTATTAAAATTAACATTAAAATGGTTTTAAACGGTCAAATGTATAATATTCCAGGAGTTGGGTTTGAGATGATAGTATCAAACTAGGTATTCTAGAATTGCTAAATATGTATCTGATCTTAAACATGGAAAGGAAAAAGTCTTTTATTCTTACCCCAAATTAACAGCAAAAACTTATATTTTTGTGTATTGACAGATTAGAAGGTAAATCTCTTACCAAAGACTATCACCAGCTTGCCCTCTACCTCTGCAATATTTAAGTCTTTGATCTTAGATTAATTATACCATGAGCTTGATAGAGGCATTTCCAGGCTCCAAGAACCTGGTTGGTGCACTTCCTTGCTGCCACCACCTGATGGCAGTGGAAGCCATGATTTCTGATAAGGGGCTCCGTTTTGAACCTATTATTTCTGCATTCCTTTAGCACACAAGGCCAAGAAAAGCCATTTGTCTAGAGATAAAGATAAACGTGTTTAAACTGAAAATTCATGCTATGGGGTCATCAGCGTCTTCTTTCAGCTTTCTTCTCCCCTTGACTGGCACTTCATTCTTCCTTCTCCAAGTAGGCAGCCTCTGTTCTTCACCCTCAGAATGGGGAACATTTCATATCTCAATATATATACTTTGAAATTTTTTTTACACCAGTACTTTATTTTTTTAAGTATTGCATTTCGAGCTTCCCTTCCCTCTTTGATTGAAAGGTTTTATTCTGAGATGTTTAAAAAGATTTTAGGTGATGGGGAGGGATAGAAATGTCTCGGCCTATTTTATGGTTGACCCTGGAGGTAAAAAAATAATAAGTTTGTGTAGCTAATGTTCTCTCTCCTTTGAACTCTAATCCTATTTTTCATTCTTTTCTACCAATACTTCCAGTTACTGAACACCCAGATCCTTTTCTTACTTTTTGCACGTCTGCCCTCTCTCCAGTGATCAGTGAAACAAAACAAAACAACCTGGTCTCCCTGGAGTGTTCTCGCTCTCTTTCAGTGATAGCATCGTTATGCATGCAGTCTTGCAAACCTGAAACTTGGCCATCCTCCTTAACGTTTTCCTCTCCCTCGTGTTTTAGGTGTAGTCAATCACAGAGTCCCATTTTATTTCTTCCCTGACTCCAGTCCATGCCACCATCATCCCTCACTTAGGTCTCCTGCAATAGCTTTCTAAGCAGTGTGCCTGCTTCTACTCTTGCCCATAATTCTTACAGCATACTGATCTTTTTGTAAGCACACATCCTTTCCTATCTCTGCTTACAGCCCTTTACAAGCTTTTCATTGTTCTTAGGATAAGGCAAAAATCCTTAACAGACCTAAAAGGCACTCTATGGTCTGGCCCTTCTCTAACGCTACAGTTTAATGCTACATCATAGGTTTAGTTCTTGGAGCTTTTCCACCTCCTTCGGCATGTCATGCTCCTTTCTGCCACTGGGCCATTGCACATGCTATTGCATCATCCAGAAACCCTCTTACTCCCCATTCTAGTCTTTTTTTAAAGCTGCTCTTCCATTGGATCTCAGCTTGATCACTCTTTTTCAGAAAGCCTTCTCTGACCTTCTCTTTGTTCTCTTCTCCCTATACACACTCAGAGCACCATGTGGTTTTCCTGGGCATACTTGCCATTTGTGTGTGATTCCTTGATATGCAGGATTTGATGCTCTTGAGATATATATACATATGTCTGCTTATACACATATGCATATATATTCTTAAATTCTTAAATTCTACATTAATACATTGACATTATATGTAAGCAGTTCGTTTCTTGTGAATTTGATTGACTGTGGTTCAGTCCCCTACAGCCCCATTGAGTCTGGAAAAAGGGATAAAATCAAATTCTTAAATATAAAATAGTGGACTATACTCTGCATCCACGGAGACAGCACACATGATATTTTGTGAAACCCTGTTTGAGCAGCTTCTTGCCTTTTTGCTGTCTCCTAAAATACAACAGCGATTATCTGTTTGCCCCATAGGCCAAAAAATTCCTAGCTACTTGGTCCTAGATTTTTGCTAACTCACAATCTCCATACGCAGTAAAGAACGGAGAATGGTTCTTTTTGTAGAGTAGGTATGCAGATCCCCCAAGGAGGTCATGGGGATAAAGGAACCCAAGTTACTATTGTGATTTAACTGTGTGAGTTTGATTAAATACCATGTACAGTATTAACTGGGAAAACAGTTAAAACATTGTTGTTAAGGTAGGAACTGGAAACCTGGCAAAGAGGAGGAGAAATAAAACAGTTGGTAAAACTGGGTGAAAATAATACTGGAATCCTAACCTAAAAATTTTAAATGTCGTATATATTCATAAAATTTAAATGGTACAAAAGGACGTATGATAAAAGGCAAGTTTTCCTTTTACCTTTGACCCCAGCTAATTGACTTCCTTCCTAGAAGCAACCAATGATAAATTTCTTGTGTATCCTTTCCAGAAAGATGTGTGTGGGTGAGTGTGGAGGGAGGGAAATGGTATCATTTCTTTATTTGGATAGGCATTTAAAATGTTTACAGTTGTACTAATGCAAATGATGATACAATGAATATCCCTGTACATATACAATATTGCACATAAGTATGTCTGTGTCTTTAGAATAAATAAATTCACAGAAGTACAATTGCGGGGTCAAAGATATATACTATTTAAATTTTGATAAATACTGCCAAACTGCCCCACACAGAGGTTGTACCAGTTTATGTCCTACTATCTGTGTTGGGAGTGCTGGCTTCCTGACACCCTTGGTAACAGAGTTGATTATCAAACTTTTTTAAATTGTCAATTTAATAGGTATATTTTTCTTCATCTTTTCAGTAGGTACGAGAACCATATTTGTTTCCTTTATAACAGCTGCTTGTATTTTCTCTTCACCTGGTTATTTGTTCATTTTTCTATTGGCATGTTTAATATTGTTTATAGGAATTCTCTGTTTTTAGGAAATTAGTTCTTTGTGTGATATGTGTTGCAGATATTTGTCACAGTTTATTGTTTGGCCTTTAAAGACCTCGTTTACAGTATATTTTCTAGCAGAAATTTAAAAAAATTTTGTAGTTGTAATTGTCAGTCTTTTTTGGATTTTAGGTTTGGTATCATATGAAAGGTCTTCCCTATTTCAATATTATTTCTAATGAAAATGAAAATGAAAATTCTTATGTTTTTTTCCTGGTACTTCTATAATTTTATTTTCAAGTTAAATGCACTTATCCATATAAAATTTAAATTATTGAGGTGTAGGAATCCAACCTTACTTTTTTTTTCCAGGCGGCAACCCAGTTATCACAGTACTGAAATATTGTCTGTAGGTATACTTAGTTCCTACATATAAATTGGGGTCCTTACTGGATTTTCGTTTCATTAATCATTTTACCTATTTATACATAATGACTCCATCCTTTGATTATAGTGCTCTCATTCTACTTCCCAGACTTTTCTTAGATATTTTTGCTTGTTTATTTTCCCATAAAACTTAAAATTAGTTTTTCAAGCTACCCTCCTCATCCTGTTGGTATTTTTATTGGTGTTGAATTGTATTCATAGATTGATTTGGAGAGAATTGACATCTATTTGAGGGTCAGTCTTCTGTTCAAGAACAGGTATATGTTCATTTCTTGTTGTTCAGGTTTTCTTTTGCATCCCTCAATAAAATTTTAAAAGTTTTTTTTGTATAGACCTTTCACATTTCTTGTTATGTGTATACCTTGATATTTTCTCTTTTTTGTTGCTATTGAAAATGGAATTTCTACTTCTATTATCTTTTATCTTGTTGTTTGAATATGAGAATGCTATTAATTTCTAAGTATTAATTTTGTCCATAGC